GGCCTGACAGAGACAGGAGAAACCCGAGAGTATGCCCTCTGGACACCATTTTAGCTCAGTAATGAAGTCACTCCCGAGGTTCACCCTTCAGCCAAAGATTAGACAGCCCCATAAAACAAAAGGAGACTAATGGGGCACAACAGCCCAGGGGCAAAGACCAGAAGGCAGAAGGGGACAGGAAAGCTGGTAATAGGGAAGCCAAGGTCGAGAACAGAGTACTGACATGTCATGGGTTTGTAAACCAATGCCATAAAACATATGTACCATTTAATGAGAAGCTAGTTTGTTCTGTAAACCATCATCTAAAGTTCAATTAAAAAAAAAAAAAGAGGCAAATAAAAAGACAATATTTAAATATTGATCCATATCACTAAATTGACCTCCAGATATCAGTACCCATAAACTTTCAACTGGCAGAAGTTTACAAATAAACTATAATGATGTGGAAAAAATGCACATGAAATGCAAGTGGGAAAAAAGCAGGAAGTAAAACTATCTTCTGTATAAGCTATGAAATACAGTATATGCTCACAAAAAATATTGGAAGGAGATACATCAAATTATTAAGCAGAATTATAAGCCATTTTTATTAATTTTTTATAGTCTTCCACACTTCAAATTCTCTACACGAAAGATATATTGCCTTTATCTTAAGAAAATAATAAATATTTTTAAAGCAGCAAATTCCAACAATGGAATATATAATTTTCTGGTTAGACTCTCCTATTAAAGAGGGTCATCAGCAAATGACTGGTATTTGGCCCAGGACATACATAGTTCCAAGGTAAACTGACAAACTAGTGACATTATTGCTTAAAATTCAAAATTCCCTGTCCCAGTATTTAGGATATAAAATCCAGTTTCTCCAGCTGAGGAAATCTGCTAAAAAACTTAGTTGTTGTTACGTGCCGTGAGTCGGTTCTGACTCAAAGTGACCCCATGCACAAGAGAACAAAACACTGCCCGGTCCTGCACCATCCTCACAATCATTATTATGCTTGAGCCCATTGTTGCAGTCACTGTGTCAATCCATCTCCTTGAGGTTTTTCCTGTTTTTTGCTGACCCTCTATCCAAGCATGATGTCCTTCTCCAGGGACTGGTCCGTCCTGAGAACATGTTCAAAGTACATGAGACAAAGTCTTGCCATCCTGGCTTCTAAGAAGCATTCTGGTTGTACTTCTTCCAAGACAGATTTGTTTGTTCTTCTGGCAGTCCATGGTATAGTCAACTTTCTTTGCCAATACCATTATTCAAAGGCATCAATTCTTCTTCGGTCTTTCTTATTCACTGTCCAGTTTTCACATGCATAAAAGGCAAATGAAAACATCACGGCTTGGATCTGGTGCACCTTAGTCCTTACAGTGACATGCTTGCTTTTTAACACTTTAAAGAGATCTTTTGCAGCAGACTTGCCCAATGCAATGCATCATTTGATTTCTTGACTGTTGCTTCCATGGGCATTGATTGTAGATCCAAGTAAAATGAAACCCTTTACAACTTCAACATTTCTCCATTTATCATGAATAACTTAGAGAAAGCATAATTATTCTTAGAAATAACAACTGAGGTAATTACAAAGCTTTCTACACTTTTACCCTTACAACTGCGGTCTTTGGAAATGACTCCCTGATATTTACTCACTGATTAAAGTCTTATTAGTTTATCTCACCACGCTTAAGGTGGTGGTTAACTTCCTGGGCTAAAATCTTGGCTCCAAGACTCTTACTAGCTGTATAATTGTTAATTTCTTTCTGCCTCAACTTCCTTATCAAATATACAAATACTACTTACCTCAAAAAGTTATTGTAATTATCACGAGTAAACAGATGTAAAACACCTCTCTCCAACTTGGTTACGTTCCACTCAATGAACATTTATTGTGCTAAGCTCTAAATGAATCATTCATGGTGAATACTCTTACATTTTAATAGTAAGAGAAACACTTACAGCCCCAATTTTTTTTTTTTTTTTAAAGATGCCACCATAATGGAGGATGGGGGGAGTGCGTAGGGGTACAACTCAAGTAAGACTGGGCAGTTGATAAGTATTTAAACTGGGTGATAGCTGCGTGGCATGGGGGTCCATTACTTTTGGCCATGGCCAAAATGATCCCATAATACAACATCTGACAAGGTGGGGAGTGGGGGAGAGGCCACAGAAAGGGACCTTGCTTAATTTAAAGAAGGCCCCACCTACTACATGAGTGACCCAATGGAAAGAATGCAGGTCTGGACTTCAGATTATCATCCAACTGGTCTTCAGAAAAGAGCCACAGAGTTCCTACAAAAATTACATACAGATAAGATGCAAAAGGACTTTGGAATATATAAAGCACTGATTTAATTAATAAGGTAAGACATTCTGATCATCTGAACCTGTCAAATTCAGGGAACTTGAATTTTTTGTGTACTGTCCATGTAGGGCAGGATTACAAAAAAAAAAAAAAAGTAATAATCTACCATTACATGGCTCGAGAAGACAAAGTAAAGTACTATAATGAAATGTGCAAAGACCTGGAGTTACAGAAAACCAAAAGGGAAGAACACACTCGGCATATCCCAAGCTAAAAGAACTGAAGAAAAAGTTCAAGCCTCAAGTTGAATATTGAAGAATTCTATAAGCAAAATATTGAACGATGAAGGAAGCATCAAAAGAAGATGGAAAGAATACACAGAGTCACTGTACCAAAAAGAACTGGTCGACGTTCAACCATTTCAGAAGGTAGCATATGACCAAGGATCGACAGTGTTGAAGGAAAAAGTCCAAGCTGCAGTGAAGGCCCTGGTGAAAAACAAGGCTCCAGGAATTGACAGAATACCAATTGAGATGTTTCAACAAATGGATACAGTGCTGAAAGCACTCACTCATCTAGTCCAGGAAATTTACAAGACAGCTACCTGGCCAACTAACTGGAAGAGATCCATATAAGTGTGCCCATTCCAAAGAAAGGTGATCCAACAGAATGAGGAAATTATTGAACAGTATCATTAATATCACACACAAATCAAATTTTGCAGATCATTCAAAAACAGTTACAGCAGTACATCAACAGGAACTGCCAGAAATTCAAGCCAGATTCAGAAGAGGACATGGAATCAGGGATATCGTTGCTGATGTCAGATCGATCTTGGCTGAAGGCAAAGAATACCAGAAAGATGTTTACCTGTGTTTTACTGACTATGCAAAAGCATTTGACTGTGTGGATCATAACAAATTATGGATAACATTACGAAGAATCGGAATTCCAGAACACTTAATTGTGCTTATTACTATGAACCTGTACATAAACCAAGAGGTAGTCGTTCAAATAGAACAAGGGGACACTGCATGGTTTAAAATCAGGAAAGGCATGCATCTGGGTTGTATCCTTTCACTATACTTAATTCAATCTACATACTGAGCAAATAATCCAAAAAGCTTGACTATATGAAGACGAATTCGGCAACACTCATTAACAACCTAAAATATGCAAATGACACAACTTAGCCTGCTGAAGGTGAAGAGGACTTGAAGCATTTACGGATGAAGACCAAAGACTACAACCTTCTGTATGGATTGCACCTCAATATAAAGAAAACAAAAATCCTCATAACTGACCAATAAGCAATATTACGATAAACAGAGAAAAGAAAAGATAGAAGTTGTCAAGGATTTCATTTGACTTTGATCCACAATCAACGCCCAGGGAAGCAGCAGTCAAGAAATCAAACGACATATGCCTTTGAGCAAAGCCCCTGCAAAAGACCTGCTTAAAGTGTTGAAGAGCAAAGACGGCACTCTGTGGACTAAAGTTCACCTGACCCAAGCCACAGTACTTTCAATCGCCGCATACGTGTGCAAAAGCTGGATGACGAACAAGGAAAACTGCAGAAAAACTGATGCATCTGAACTACAGTGTTGGCAAAGAATACTGAATATTATCATGGGCTGCCAGAAGAATGAACAAATGTCTTGGAAGAAGTACACCAAAATGCTCCGTAGAAGCGAGGATGGCAACACTTCATCTCACATACTTTGGACATGTTGTCAGGTGGGACGAGTCCCTGGAGAAGGGCATCATTTAGAGGGTCAGCAAAAAAGAGGAAGATCCTCAGTGAGATGGACTGACGCAATGGCTGCAACAATGGGCTCAAACATAGCAATGATTATGAAAATGGCGTAAGACTGGGCAGAGTTTCATTCTGTTGTACACAGAGTTGCTATGGGTCAGAACCGACTGGACAGCACCTATCAACAACACAGGCAATGAACACTTTGTGAATGAGTAGTAGATCTGTACCTTCAGAAGATTACTAAAGAATCTTAGGTAAGAGGAGATTTGACTCATCAATCATCATATCGGCAGTTTTACTAAATCGCCAGTCAAATGAAACCACATAAATTATAACTTGAGATTTTCCTGCAGGACAAATAGCCCAGTTAAGTCACTTTGTTAAAGGAAGTGGCTAAGAACCAGGCTCTAAAATCAAGACCACTCGGGTTCCAATCCTACCTCTATCACCCTGCTGTTGATAACTGCTGTTGAGTCGGTCCCCGACTCATGGTGACCTCATGCACAATGGGATCAGACAATTATGATACATGGGTTTTCACTGGCTGATTTTCAGAAGCAGACTGCCAGGCCTTTCTTCCTAGTCTGTCTTAGTCTGGAAGCTCTGCTGAAGCCTGTTCAGCATCATAGCAACATGCAAGTCTCCACCGAGGGGATAGGCAGTGGCTGCAGGAAGTGCACTGGCTGGAATGGAACCCCGGTCTCCCATCTAGGAGGTGAGAATTCTATCACTGAGCCACTACTGCCTCCTCCACTACCACCTTCTTAACTCTAAAACTGTAATGAAATTACTAAATCTGAGCCCCACTTTCCTCTTCTACTAAGTGGGCAGCGTACCTGCCTCACATCATTATTGGGAGGGGTAAAGAACATACTTGACTCAGTAACTGACATGCACCACTCTACTTTCTGATCGGATTTAACTTAAAAACTAACTTGCCCTCTTACCTGACTGTCAGACCAGCATCCCTCAGAGCTTTTGCTGTCCCTCCAGAAGCAACCAGATTCAAACCAACAGAAGTTAGGTTTCTGGCAAATTCCACAAGGCCGGTTTTGTCTGAGACACTAAACAAGGCTGCAACAGAAGACATTATTTCTCATTACTTAAAGTACATTGCAGACGTTCTCCAAGGTCTAGGAGGGGTGGGGGGTTGGGGAGCTGCGTTCTCACGAATCTCAAGGTTCCACGGCCATCCACGCCTTGGCCCACACTACCCAGGCCTAGAGCCTGGGCCTCCCCCAGGTCAAGGCAGCCGCGGCCTCACAGCCGCGGGCCGGGCGGGAACTGACAGCGCGGTTCGGCGGGGCGCGGGCCGAAGGCACAGGCGGGTGCGGAAAGTGGCGCGCTCGCGGCCGCGCAGTGCAGCCCCCACCCTGCTCCGGGCACCGCAGTTCCCGCCCGATCGCCGCCATTGCTGGGGTGAGGGGCCCGCGGGGCACGGACGCCGGGGAGGCCGCTTTGGGAGGACCGCGTAGTGGCTCACCAAGCTGGCCGGGCGCCATGATTGCAGACGGAGCGTCCGGGGCCGAGGGGCAGGCAGCGGCGGTGATCCACGTGCGCAGGTAGGGGTTCGGCCCTGGCGGTGGCTCTCCGGGAGCCGGGGCGGGCTGGGCGGTCACCTGACGGGACACGTGACGGGGCCGATTCCCACCCCCACCTCCACCCCCCGCGCGTCCGCCCTGCCCAATTTTAGAGTTGAAATACGAGCCTCCGGGCTAAAAGGGAGCGCGGGGTGGGGCGCCCCCTGGTTTTCCTTGGCCTAGAACGCGAAGAAATCCTCTCGGTGTGCAAGCCACTGCTCCGTCACCGTCGCAAAAGTGTGGTTACCCATGGCCTCTGGAGCAAATTCCTGTCTTGCCGGCAACCCCTTCCCAGAGGCTGGAATGTAGATAAAGTGTTAAAAGCGATACAGAAAACAAGAAAGAGCAACGCAAGGAATAGTTCTTAGAGCGTCAAAGCTGTAAAGGACCTTGGCTATCATCTACCATCCTCCCGTTTTAATGCATTTTAAAAATAAAACAAACGCCTACAGACTAAGTGTAGTTCACAGATTAAAGACGAAAGTATTGAAATTGACATTCAAGCTTTAGATTCCACACTTGTAAAATTGCCCCAAATTGGGATTTCTTTACTAATCTGTATTATTTTGCCTCAAGTAAGAGTGAAGTAACTGTTAAAGGGGGTAAATATACTTTTTCTAGTTCATTAAAAACAGGAAAAGCAAAATTGAACACAATCGTTTCTGTTTTGAAATGACACCCATTGCTACAAAATACATACTGCTGTTCCGCCAAGTCTTTATGATGTTCCTTATTAGAATTATGTTACAAAATAACAATATTGCCTGTTCCTTAATTCTTACTCTGGGGTTCACAACTATACAAGGAGTCTGTTTTCTAATTACCCACATACTGCTATTTATTTTTGTTTTCCGTCTTCTCCTCTCTAATTCTCCCTGTCTCTTCTTTACTCCAAAAAATAAATACCTATTGGCTAAAATGAGGACTTACACTTTATCACCTCTGAATATGTTAACTCCTTGCTCTGAGTATTCTCACTTTTCTAAGAAAATGTATGAAGATTATCACAATATCTTCAGAGTGTGTTTACCAGCTTAGAATGAAATGAGATAAGGTTGATAGCTAGCAGTAAAGGAAATCTCCTTGTCTAGTCACCGTTCGGGTTTTTTAGGAAATAGCAGAGAAAGGAGTAAATAATTCTGAGATTTAGTGACAAGAGGAAAATAAACAGTGGCTAAGCACTAGACATTTTTCCTACATATGAATTATAGATGTTCCATAAATATTTATTGAGTCCCTTCTGCCTGAATGGCAGAAGTAGACTGTCAGAAGACTGAGATGAATATCACCTAGTCACTGTCCTCAAGGAGCTCATTAGAATGAAAATGTAGAAACAAAGTTAGGTATAACTAGAAAATATTCATAGTAAGACAAAACATGGAATTAAACTGATTTTGTAGACACCCTTTGGAATATTGCCACAAGTATTAAAAAAGAATGAACTCTGGGTTATAGACCAAGACACACCCCTTTTCATTTAAAGATGTTTCTTACAGTTAATTCTGACTAATTCTTCCACGGTTTTGGAGTCTAGACATGATATGTGCTTCATGTGTTAATGGAAAGAAGGATAAATGAATTTCTAATTGGCTTTGTGATCAGTAAGGCCAAGTCGTCTTTGGGAGCCTTAGTTGTCTTATGGTCTCATCAGATTGTAAGAATCAAATTAACGTACTGAAAGTACAAACGAAACTGTGAAGAGTCTAGTAAGGATAATTTAAAAAAAAAAAAAAAAAAGAAGTGGCCATGAAGTCAATTCCCACTCATGGCCACCCCGTATGTTGCAGAGTAGAACTCTGCTCCATAGGGTCATCATGGCTGTGACTTTTTAAAAGCAGATTGCTAGGCCTTTCTTTAGAGGCACCTTTGGATGGGTTTGAACCTTTTGGTTTGTAGCCAAGTAATTCACCATTTGCGCCACCGAGGGACACAAATAAGGATAATATAAAAGTGTAATTTACAGGCGAGGCCAAGATGGCAGAGTAGTCAGATGCTTCTGGTGGACCCTCTTACAACAAAGACCTAAAACAACAAGTGAATTGATTATATATGGCAATCTCAGAGCCCTGAACATCAAAGGCAAAGTTGAGGAACTGGACTGAGTGGCAGGGGGAGGGAGAGACGGTTCGGAAGCAGCGAGGAGTTGCCAGACCTGACCCAGCAAGAGCCTGAGCCCTTCAGGTCTGAGCAGCTCGTGGGTGAGCCATGAGGCAGGCAAGTGGCAGTGCTTGGGAGGCACGTTTTCTGCACCAGGAGAGACCCAGAGCCGGAGAGTCTACACGGCCACCCAGAACCAGTGAGAAGCAGCCCCCATCAGCAAAAGATAAGTATTTGTGTAGGGCTCACTGTGCGGATCAAAAACACCCCCCTTAGGGGAAAAACCTCTCTCCCATTTACCTTCCTGCTCCCTACTCTACACTGGGTCCCAGACCGGCTTCAGCAATTGCCGAGTCCCGTTGGCCGGAAGTAGAATCCGTCACATACCCAGAGCCATTCTCCCTGCCTTGGAGTGTGAACAAATTAACAAACAGGGGAAAAAATAAACTGCTGGCTCCCCTAAGCCAGGAGCACAGCTCCCCTAAGCACAGCTCTTTTGCCTAGGCACAGGCATAAGGGATCCACAGACTTTGAGTGCCTTTCCCCCTGCAGAGACTTGTGTGGGCCCATCTCAACATCATAGGCCTTCATTACTGCAATACAACAGGGTGCATTCCTGAAGTCTAACTTCAACTGTTTCAGCTGTGAAGTGCCATGTTTGTGACATTTGACACTGTTCTGCCCATTAAGCAGGGTCTTCACCTACCCACATCAAGGGCCTGAGGACTGATGGCTCCAGCCATGCCACCTAGCAACCTGAGAGAGGGGCTCATGAATAAGAGGTGCCCCCAGTCCTTACAGCCAACAGCATTAGGTGCTCATAGTCTGGCTGAAAAACCCACCCACATAGGCACTCTAGGGAACAGGGACATGCCTTCCTCCTGGACACTCGGGGGTGGCCATCAGCCCCTTGCCTTGCTCAGAGTGTGTCCTCCTGCTGCAGCCAGATGCCTGTGCCTACACCAATCACCCATGCATGTCTGGGACTGTAAGTGAGAGCCTGCACCAGACACTTGGTGGCTACCTACCTGGGCACCTGAGCTGAATCCATACGGGAGGACTGGGTGGACTCCTGAGCTCACATACCTCATAACAGATCTAACCACCTAGTGACAGAACATTAGAGCTTCAGAGGTGCCAATAATCAAACTAGCTCATACAAGCAGCCTATCTGAGCATATCAAAACAAAAGAAGAAGCTAGGACACAGTAAGCAAACATAAAATAAATAAATATAATAAATTATTGATGGCTCAGAGAGAACAGTCAATATCAAATCACATAAAGAGGCAATCCATGATGGCTTCAGCAAGCTCCCAAAATGAATCTAGAAATTTTCTAGCGGAGGAAAGTTTCTTGGAATTACCAGAGGAAGAATACAGAAGATTAATATACAGAACGCTTCAAGAAATTAGGAAGGAAATTAAGCAAAACACAGAACACGCAATAGAAGAAATTAAAAAGATTAGAGAAGAGCATAATGAAAAATTTAACAGTCTGCAAGAATCCATAGAGAGACAGCAGTCAGAAATCCAGAAGATTAACAATAAATTTTCAGAATTAGACAACTCAATAGAAAGTCAGAGGAGCAGAATTGATGCAATGGAAGTCAGAATTAGTGAGATTGAAGATAAAGCACACGACACCAACTTATATGAGGAAAAATCAGATAAAAGGATTTTAAAAAATGAAGAAACTCTAAGAATTATGTGGGCCTCTATCAAGAGGAATAACCTACGAGTGATTGGAGTACCAAAACAGGTGGAGATAACAAAAAATACAGAGAGAATTGTTGAAGATTTGTTGGCAGAAAATTTCCCTGATATCATGAAAGATGACAAGATATCTATCCAAGATGTTCATCGAACTGCACATAAGGTGGATCCCAAAAGAAAGTCACCAAGACATATTCTAATCAAACTTGCCGAAACCAAAGATAAAGAGAGAATTTTAAGAGCAGCTAGGGATAAACGGAAAGTCATCTGCAAAGGAGCGTTAATAAGAATAAGCTCGGACTACTCAGCAGAAACCATACAGGCAAGAAGGCAATGGGGTGACATATATAAAGCCTTGAAGGAAAACAACTGCCAGCCAAGAATTATATATCCAGCAAAACTGTCTCTCAGTAGTGTCATGGATTGAGGTGCGTCCCCCAAAAGTATCTGTCAGCTTGGCTGGGTCATGATTCGCAGTGTTGTATGATTGCGTAATCTGATGTGATTTCCTTATGTGTTGTAAACTCTATCACTATGATGAGATTATATGTGGTCTTCTTAAGTGTTGTAAACTCTGTCGCTATGATGAGATTATAGTGATGAGGTTGCCAAGATTAGATAGTGTCTTAATGCAGTCTCTTTTGAGATATAAAAGAGAGAAGTGAGCAGAGACACATGGGAGCCTCATACCACCAAGAAAACAGTGCTGGGAGCAGAGCACGTCCTTTCGACGTGAGGTTCCTGTGCAGAGAAGCTCCCAGACCAAGAGAAGACTGATGACATGGACCTTCCTCCAGAGCCAACGGAGAAAGTGTTCCCCTGGAGCTGATGCCCTGAATTTGGACTTGTAGCCTACTGGACTGTGAGAGAATAAAATTCGCTTTGCTAAACCCATCCACTCGTGGTATTCCTGTTAGAGCAGCAATAGATGACTAAACAAATATGATGGCAAAATTAGGGCATTTCCAGATAAACAGAAGTTTAGGAAATTTGCAAAAACCAAACCAAAATTACAAGAAATACTAAAGGGAGTCCTCCAGTTAGAAAATCAGTAACATCAGATAACAACCTAAGACTAGCGCACAG